CTGCGCGATACTCGATTTTCTCCATTGTTGACAGACAATGTCAGCTGACAACTTTGGAGAGTTGCCATAGACAGAGTAATGATCAGAATGACTTCAAATTTTTACGGTTTACACATGTCAAGGCTATCTATCGAACAGCGAAAGAAATTTTTTTCTGCAATTACTTTATGTTGATAAGGCCGGAAACTTTTCAAATGACCCTCGTATATAATTCTATACATTTTTTATATGTTTCATATTTATATTTTGTCATGTTTATATTTTCATATTTTAATTATATTACATTAAGATATAGAGATAGAATAATTGAATTACATAAGAAAAACGATTATAAAAAGACAAAAATATTGTGCGCATTATGAGATACAGTTGTTGGGCATTTGCATTGTGAATAAATACAAAGGAACAGAAGTAAATGATCTTCAAGATCATCGCAAAAATAACATTACTCAATAACAAACAATATCAGAAGAAAAATGAATTGTTAGAATTATGCATGAAGATCTTTCATCAAAATATAGCTAGAAAAAATTAAATGGTTTTCAAAATTTTAGCAACAAAACTGTTTTCAAAATATTTTTACGATGATCTTGAAAATTATTTCTTTACTCCACCTTCTTCGTAATTCATAATGCAGCTGTTCAACGAATACATCATAAAATGCAAAAAACATGTATAAACCCAATCAGCACACAATATTTTTAAATGTTTTTAAAATGTTTTTTTAATGTTTTTTTTCATTTCTTGAACTCATTTTAGAAAAAATATTTATTTAACATTTATTTAATATTTTTTTTATTAAATATTCGTTTAGAATAATGATTTCTGAAAAACGTTTTTAAACGTTTATTTAATATTTTTAAAATATTTGTTTAACGTTAATTTTACATTTAAAATAATGATTTGAGTATACATTTTTAAACGTTTATTTAATATTTTCTAAATATTTATTTGTCATTAATTTTACGTTTAAGAAAATGATTTCAGTATACAATTTTTGAATGTATGTTTAATATTTTCTAAATATTTATTTGTCATTAATTTTACGTTTAAGAAAATGATTTCAGTATATATTTTTTAAACGTTTCTTTAATATTTTCTAAATATTTAATTGTCATTAATTTTTCATTTAAAAAAAATGAAAATTTTAGTATGCATTTTTGAAACATTTAAAAAATTAAATTTCAGTATACATTTTTTAAATATTTATTAAATATTTATTTGTCATTAATCTTACATTTGAGAAAATGATTTCAGTAAACATTTGTATAATGTTTATTTAATACATATTTTTTAATACATATTCTTTATTAATTTTTTATTTTGAGAAAATGATTTTAATAAATATTTTTTAAACGTTTAGTTAATATTTATTTAATGTTTATTTTTGAATTTATTTTGGATCTGTAAAATAAATTACTTAATATAGTTATTAAAATTTTGTTGACGCATTACCCAGATAACCAAGCGGGATTCATCATATCAAGCAAACTAATGCATTGCATGAGTTGTTG